ATATCTTTTTTTTATAAAAAGATTTTATTTTTAAGATTTTTTTTTTTTAAATTTATAAAAATTATTAAAATTACAAAAATTAAAATAATAATTATATTTTTAGATAATATTTAATATAAAGTAATATAGATCTTTTTCTGAAACTTGTATCTATTAATATTTTACTATTGTAAACAAAGTTAATAATACAGCTGCATTTATTTCAATTTGTGGCTGCGAATTCTTAATCTTATCAAAAATAAAATTTTTAAAATGTATGCTTAAGTGGAAAATATAGATATATCAATAAATAGATTAGTATTTCATAAAATAAATATTTTAATATTAGAATATAAAAATTATCATTTCATATTTGTTTCATTGAATCATTTTAATCAATATTCCTTAAAATAAATGACTAAAATTAAAAAACAGATGTGTATTAGGTGTAAGATTATGTATTTAATAATATAATAAAAGAGATCTTATTGCATATTATCTATTGAATTAATTCATTGATTTAATGGGTTATATTTTGAGATTCTATATATATGTATTCTTCTTAATTTATTATTTAATTTTTATTTATCTTTAATTATGAATCAATTTCTATTATTTTGATTAAAAATCTTGTATCAAAAAATCAAAACTATTATTTATTATGCTGTATATGTTTTTTTATAATATATTCTTTCAATATCATATTATTAAAATTGCTCTAAGCAATTCTTTCTAGCTTATAACTTTGAACAAAGAATATAAAAATAAATCTAATTTATTTAAATTTAAATCATCACATATGAGCATTAAAACAATTTTGACAATGATAATGAAAAATGCAAATGATATACAAATTTTCAATCGAAAATTTTTACATTTTATATTATGGAAAAAAGAATCATGTATAATAAATATATAATTTATATATTAATATAATAATATAATAATTGTCATATCTTTAAAAATATATTAAAAGCATATATATATATATGCTTTTAATATATATATATCATAAAAAATTATATATAACACATTATCAATAATTTATGTTTTAGTTTATTTCAATGTTAATTAGCATTTTTATCTTATCTATGAAAAATAATAAAAATATTGAAAATTTTTAGTATTTAAGTTTGAAGTTTGTTTGAAAAATCAAATCTAAAAACATTAATATTAATTAAATTAATATTAATATTTTATATAAATATTATTATATCTCTTATTTTGTTTATTATGAAAATAGGAATAAAAGATCATTGCCATTGGCATAAATTGGCATAAATTATAAAAAAAAATATAATAATATTATGAGATTTAAAATATAATAATATAAAAAAAAGTGAAGTATAATTTTTATTAAATTATCTAAAAAAAAGAAATTTCAATGTGGCATACAGCAATTAAATACCAATTAAATGCATAATAAAAATGCATTAAATGTAAAAAAAGAAAAAGATATATTTTATTAAGTACTTTTAGTACAAGACTATTTATGCAATATTTTAAAAATATACTTTAAATAATAATATTTAAAATCTTGATAAAAATATGGGAAAAAATATTGCGTATAATAATAATAATAATCAAATCATGATACTTGATATTTATATTATAAATAATTAGCATTTTGATTGAAAATTATTTTTATATCTCATTATTACAAATAAAAGAGATTAACTTTGTTTTTGATATTCTTAATTCTAAATTTAGATAGTAAATATTGATTCTTGCTAGTAATTTATTTTTATTTTATTTTTATATTATCCATTGTGTCCAGAGGATTCATAATTTTGCCGATATAAATAATTCTTTCAATGGATTCGTCTTCAATATAAAATAAAAACGGATGATTAGCATGAAATATTTCATCCTTGTTTTTATTTCCAATTTCAATTTCTAGAAATAAATGGAAAAATAAATTATATATGTTTCGTATATTTATAAATAAATAAAAAAAATAATTATATAGAAAGTGATACATACTTTTTAATGATTTGATTATATCTACTATTCTGATTTCGATGATATATTATACAAATCAACATCATTAAATTTTGAATAATTTTTTCCTTCGCATTTTACTACCACTCGGACTTAGTTTTCAAAATATTTGCAAAAAAAGAATATTATTATGTAGAATGTTTTTTATATATATTTATGTATGTGTAAATCTCTCATTATTTATTATTTCTATAAATAATATTGTTTTATATATTGTTGTATAGCAATAATTCAAAATGTATAATGATTAAAAAACTGATCAAAAAGATTTCTTCTTTATAATGTATTTAAAATGTCTTAAATCTAATGCGAAGTTTAGATATTCTTTTGGATCCATGAAATACAAAAATAAAATATAAAATAATTCCTTTGGACAACCAAAATTAAAACGATATTAAAAATGATACTGAAATTCATTATAATTCATTAATTTCGGTCACCTAAGGATTTATAATAATAATTTATTTTATATTTTATTTTTATATTTCGCGAATCCAAAAGATCTAATATTTTGTTCGACATTGGATTTGAGATATTTTTAACTTTATTAATCCATAAGAAATTTTTAATTTATTCATTATATATTTTAATTGTCATCATATATTTAATAGAAAATAAATCAGTCATATACTTATGTAGCAGTAGATATTAATATAAGAGGAATTCTATATAATAATAATCTTTTTTGCAAATATTTTTTTTAATAATTTTTTGTTATTGTATAACTATGTTAACTATGTTATATAAATATATGTTATATAATAAAAACTATGTTATAGTTTTGATATTTGCAAAAAAAATTATTGTTTATATTAATATAAACAAAAATATAAACAATAATATAATATAAACAAAAATATAAGCAAAAAAGAAGCAATCGCATATTTCGCATACACTATCATGGACGTATATATATAAATGAAATTTTATGAAATAGTAGTAATATTTTTTTCTAAATATTTCGAAAACTATAAAAAATAATTATATGCAAGATAAATATTGTTTAAAAATTTCTCTATAACATATTTAAAAATCATCTAAATCAGTAAGGTATGCTTCTTTTTATATAATTTTGAAAAACAATTCTGAGCATAAATAGGATAATAAAAAAAAAAAATTTACCGGTAGCCACATAAGCTATAGTTCTTTCTCATTTATTTCGATTCCAGTTTTTTGTAAAATATTTGAAACCTTAAGACGTTTTGAAGTTCGTTTTGTTTGAACTATACTAGTTAACGTTGCAGTATCATCAAAAATATCGCGAATACCAAGCTAATAAAAAATAAAATATAAAAGATAAGAAACTAAACGTAAATTAATAGAAATAAAGTGATAAGAAAATGAACGATAAGTACTTCACGTAGAATGGGTTCTAAGTGACTAGAAAAGTCAAATTTGAATTTAGGAATTAAGACGTCAACAGGTAAATCTTGCATTAGCCATATGTATCGTGTTAATACAAAAGGATTAATTTTATTGATGAGTTGATCAATTCCGTTTAATATGCGTAGTAATAACAAATATATAGCAAATTATCCCTAAAATAAGATAAAATAAAAAAAAAGAAAAAAGAGGATAATAGATTACATACATCATATAATTCTTAAAATTTTGGCGTTCAAGTCAGAAGATTCGATATAGTAAAATCGTCCGTAAGCATGCATAATAGGTATATCTACAGTTCGATTATCAATTAAATGAAATTTGCCATAATTTTTTGTATTTTCTGAAGAAAAATATTTGCCATAATTTTTCTTTAAAGAAAAGAGTATTCACAATCAACATCAAAGAATTTTTCACACTATTATCTGAAAAAAAGAAGAAATTTATTTGATTATATATTTAATTTATATTTTTACATATATACAATATTATATTTACATAAAGTAATGCAATATTCGAGCATTTTTTAAAACGAAATAATGTTTAAATAATTATCTAGAAAAAATTTCTTTGTCGATTTCAATGATTTTTGGATATGTTATAAAAAACAAGATTTTGAACAATTTTTTCTTATGCTATAACTATCATTGGCTTTAGTTTTCGAAATATATGAAAAAAGATTGTTACACAGAATTTCTATATGTTCATGCCTGCATGCGATTTATTTTAATATAATTATATAATGATAGCAAATAAGATCTATAACGAATGAAAAGTTAAAAATTTAAAAGTACTTCCTCATAGATTATAGAGAAATAAATTAAAAATATCTTAAATCCAAATTTAGTACTCCAGATCTGAAAAAATGTCCAAATTCGGATTTAAAACATTTTAAGCTTACTATAATGACATATAATTTTTTGATTGATTTATTGATACTCACTATACATTTTGAATGAGTGTTTATAAAAAAAATAGATAAACAATAGATAGTTGTAGATTTATGGAATTATATATACGTATGTATATAAAATATATATGTGAAGTTATATATACGTTTTTATATATATATATATATATATATATAAATTTTATATAATAGCGAATAGTTTATATTTAATTAATTATTAATATTTTTTTGTAAATATCTTGGAAATTTAATGATAGTTATATATATAGAAAAAAAATTCATAGAAGATTCATAAACATAGAAAGTTCAAAATATTGATTTTTATAACATATTTAAAAATCATTAAAATCGATAAAAAACTGCTTTTTAAAATAATTACTTAACTTTCTTAAAATTAGATCAAACGATTTGAATTTTTTTGAGATGTTAGAAGAATTAGTTTACTAAATAATATATTTTTAAAAATAATTATTACTTGGAATCGTGAGAAAAAAGTAAAAGTCATAATTTTTAATTTTTTATCTGAACTTACAATGAAATTTAAAACATGCCTTTTATAAATTTAAGTTATATATACAAGTTATATACATAAACTTTTACGGAAATCAATTGACATATAAAAGAGTTACAAGTATTGAAATATATTACAGAATTATATACAATTGTATTTATTATTGTATATATTGTAGAAATATTAAAATTACGAATCGTAAAAAATTGCAAATTTGAATATTTTCGATTATTTTTCATTGCAATATTAATCGATTTTGATGAAATTTTAATGAATTTTGTACATATGTATAACTTGTTGAAATTTAGACATGTTTTAAATCTTTATTATAGGTTCAGATAAAAAAATCGATTTTTATTTTTTTTTTAAATTTTAATTTATTATAAATATAACATTTTTTTTATATATTATTTGCGACAATATTTTATATATTATCTAAATTAGTTAATTAATTCTTCTAACATTTCAAAGAAATTTAAATCGTTTGATTCAATTTTAAAAAAAATATTCCATTTTAAAAATATTTTAAATATTATCTGTTATATAAATACTTTTGTCATTATAGTTATATTATTATATTTTAATTCTTACCATCTTCTATTATTCGATCAATATTAACATTAGTAACATTACTGACCCAATTATTAATTGTCTTAACTAAGGGCTGTGCATTAGATAAATTCGCAATGATCACATCAGTGTTATAAAAGATTTTTACATTGGCTTCATATTGTTGTCTAATCAAAATATTCGAATCAATATAAATTCGTGTACCAATATTTAAAGTATATACTGTAAAATTAGTCTGAGAAAATAAAAAAATATCAGATTTGTTAGAAAAAGCATTTATTTTTGTATTTATTTTTTCATATTTCTTAACTTTGATTTTTACAATCAAAATTGTAAGAAATTTATCTGAAGTGATTGTAAAATATTAGAAAACTTTTTTCGTGTAGCATTTCGGGTAACGGGTAATTGCAATATATCAGCAAATTCATATGCAGTTTCATCTTGAGCTCCTTCATATAATAATACTAATGCAATTTTTAAAGATATTGACGAAAGAATAACGTTTTTAGAATATTTCTTGCTTATACTCTAATGCAAACAGAATAAAAATATATATATATAGTATTTATATTATAAAATTGGTACAATTAAAACTTCATATACATTACTTTGAAAAATGTCCAATCAAAAATATCGAAACGTTCTCCTTGATAAGGTACAAAATCATTATTGTTTTTACTATGGTTAATAATTTCACGATTAATATTCATAGTCATATTTATATCGAAAATAGATTGCGATTTCATTATCTCCGATTTACATTATTTTAATGTGAAAATTGTTATATATGTAACTACTAAATAATAATACTGAATTAAATAATATAGTCATAAATAATAATAATCATGACTTACAAATATGATCATTTATTCATGATCGAATCAAGAAAAAGAAAATTTTATCTTGAATCAATAATCGTAAAAAATATCAGAATGAAAAGTTTATCTTTTTGTTGTTCTATATTTTTTGTACAAAAAAATTTACATATTTACAAAATTGCTTTTAATAATTTACATAATTTAGCGATTTTTTCAATTTAGCTATATTTTTATTTTAGCTATTTCATTTCAATTTTTTTTAAAGCTTTATTTTATCATTAAAATAAAAAATCAATCAAAAAACTTAAAAAAATAATTTTTTTTATTTTTTTTTTAAAAATGTTAATATTATTACATTGATTATTATTTATCAATAGTTCATATAAACATATGGCAAAGTGATAATAATCAATATCGTAAACTAATAGTATCATATTATATATTTATTCAAAATAGCAAACTTATGAAAATATAAAATATAAAAAATGCAATTTTATATACAATCCTTAAACAATCAAAAATATAATAACCAAAGTTATAATGATAAATGCTAATCAAATTAATATCACTATATAATTTCAATCATTATATTTTTAGTTATTCAATAATTATTTTATATTTTATTTTTATAAATTCGCTATTCGAAATGTTAAATATGATGTATTGGATAATTTATCTGCTATAGTCAGATTGATTAGCTATCTTTATATGTATTTATATAAACAGTTAATAAATAATAGTTATATTGACACATATGTTACCTCAGACACATACAAGAATTTAATATAATAGTATCAAAAATTTTTAACAAATATTTTGAAAATTAAAATCGTTTGCTTATTATATGTACAAGAAAAAATTGATCAAAATATTTTCTTTATCATGTATATTTTGTAACATTAAATTCATAAAAATTCATGAAGCGATAAGTTCATTTTGGCATTTTTTTAAAAAAGAATGATATAATTAATATTTTTATTATTAAATAAATTTTTCTTACTTAATATTTCAACGATGTATTTCATTATTTATATATGTATGTATATGTATATATAAAATTTAAATGAATATATAGAAAAAAACAGTAAATTGAGACAAGTACATAATAGCTCTACGAGATCTATTACGTGTTGATTTCATCCAGTATTCAATAGATAAATAAATTCATTTAGTAAAAAATCAGTCAATCAACATATTTAATCATTTATCTGTATATATATAATTACTCTACTATTTAATCAGAAGTTTTACAAAATTATATAAAATCATCATATATTTTTCTCTTTCTTTTTTTTTTACTAATTGAAACATTATTAATTAAAATTCGAATTATTCAGAAAAAAAAGCTTGCAATTTGAATAAATTTGGATAATAATAAGATTGAATTATGAATTATAACAATGTTAATATCAATTTAATAGAAATCAATTGAAACAAAATACAATAAAAATAGTTATTTATTTATTATTTTATTTTATTTATTTTTATTTCATTTCAATTTTTAAATAATTTATTTTTTTTTTTAATTAATAATTTGAATGATATAAATTTGTAAGACTTATAATTATGATCTTACAAAATATGGATTATTGATATAATTGAATTTCTAATTAGTTTCTTGATTTTTTTCCTGGGTTTTTATATTTTCTATTCTGTATTGCTCTATATTTATCAAAAATTTTCGAAATTAAAAATAATCATGTTCATAGTTATATAAATTCGAATTAATTTTACTATATATTTTGTTTTTTGCAAAAGAAAATTTAAGTAAAAAATTAATTGTTTTTGATCAAAATAATAACAAAAATAATTTCTTATCTGACTCTTCATACACAAGATCAAAATTAAAGAAATTAATCATATAAATTAATACAAACATACAAATTATGATTATAAAAATATTACTTAAGAGAATTACAAGAAAAAAATTATAAAATAAGCTCTAATTTGAGCTGTGTACATTAAAATGTTATTAGAAAATAGTAGCAAATTCGTGTTTGCAATTTTAGTAATTGAAAAATAATTTATGCATCACGATGATAGTATTTTGATAAAGATAACTTTTATATCCTGTTCAAATAACGATTATTATAATTTTATTATTATAATTTAGATAAATTAAATAAAAATATTCATTATTATTTCATTACTTGATTTTTTGAAATAACAGTGAATAAAAAACTGTTGTTAATCATCAATTTTAGATATTATAAATATGAATTATTTAACTTTTCACACTAATAAATCTATTCACTGATAATTCATTTCATTCATTTTTTGATATAATTATATATAATAATTTCATAATTTATATCATAATTAATGAATGAATTAATTAATTATGAAATAAATTATCTAAAAATAATTAGATTTAAAAATAGATTAAAATATAATATATAATTTTTAATCCTTTTCTTTTATTTATAAATATCAAACTTATCTTATCTTAATAATAATATATCGTTTAAAATAAACATAATTGTTTTTTTTTTTTTATATTTTCAACTCAAATAATTGATTAAAATATTTGCAATCTTGGCTTTATATATTTTAAAGATCTGATGAAATCTAGAACAAAAACAAATTGCATAGAAAAAAATTTTTATTTATCAAGAAGACTTTTTTTCGCTATTTCTAATTAACAAGATTCAATCAACACTAGATGAAAATTTTTTCTTAAAAATAGATGTTTATCTACAATCATAAAATTATTTTTATTTTGAGTTATTATCTTTATTTCTTTTACTTCAAAAATTGCAATAATAATTAATGTAATATACGAATATTTATTTGATTAGAAAAATCATAAATAAAAAACAAAAAAAATCGAATCACTTTTTAATCTAAATATAAATATATAGAAACTCAATACCTTTTAGATACTATATTGAATTGAAAAATAAAAAAAAAGAAAATGCTTAATTTATTATTATTATAAATTATATAAATGATAGACTTTTAAAATTAACTTGATTTATTTTTTTCATGATCGCTTTAATAACGATTCGTCCTTTATTTGTTTGCGCAAATTTTCAGTCTCATCTTCACTGGTGCTAAAATAATTTATTATATTTCTTCTCTTATTAATTCTCCTATAACGACTTAATTCTTTATTGCTAATGCGTTTTCGTTTTTGCCTTTTAAGTTTTTTTTCCGCTTTTTCTAATTCGGACAATTCTTTGTCTCGAGTAATTTCCTTATCAATTTCGTCTCCCGTTACGCAAAACGAATCCTGAAATTCATTAAAAACAAAAATATTAAAATTCAAGCGTTTGTTATTAGTACAATCATTTCACTTACATTTATGTAGGATTCGTTTTGAGTTATAGGTTGTGAATATATATCTATATTAGAATTCAGTGTGTATTGTTGTTTAAAAAGAAAATTTTGTCTATTAACTGGACTTCTAGTACTCTGTAAATAATGAACGTATATATCAGATGTATCTTGTATATTTTGCGTATAACTAACAAAATCTTTGAGATCATCATCGGTTTCACAACTTTCATTTGTCGTCTCACTATTCGAAGAAACTTCTGCTTCCTCCAATATAAATTCATTTTTTGTTTTTCTCAATTTTCGATTACGATTATGTTTTCGAGAATATTCTGTTTCTTTTTTCTGATTTACATGTTTCTTCTTATTTTTTGATTTATCAATGAAGGAAATATATTTTTTTTCTTTTACAGTTGAAAGATGAACATTTTTAGAATTATCTTTATTCATAGAATCATTATTAAAATAATTATAATTTGAATTCCTTTTTCTTACATTCGCTAATTTATTTGCTATAGTCATACGAGAAGCGTTTTGTTTTGAAATATTTTTTGACTTTTCGATTGAAATCCATTCTTTATTATTTAGATCACATTTTTCCATATTATTTTCAATTTTTAATTTCTCGTTATTTTGTTTTTCTTCAAATGTATCGAATTTTATATAATTTTGTACAGTATCAATCGAAACTTTAAAATCATCATCCCAATCATATTCTTCCACTTCTAATTCTGTATTAATTATATTTTTTTGATTATTTAAATTTTCTATCTTATTAAAATTCTTTTCATCTTTATAATCAATCGAATTATTTATTTGTTCATCAAAATTTGATTGATTATCGATTTGCAACAAAAAATTTTTGTCTTGAAATATATCATCTTCTGATTCATTGATCTTTGAAAGGATTGAATTTGAATTTAATCGAACTATTTCATCAATTGTTTGTTTTTCATTAAAAGTATATTCATTTTGAAATTCAATAAATTTTGGCATATTAGTAGTTTCACTTAAATCTTCAAAATATTCAAAATTATGTTTATATTGATCCATTGGAATTGAAGAAAAGTTATTTATTTTAATTTCTTTTTGCAAATCATTTTTTAATCTAAAATTATTATCCAATTCCGTAATATTAGAAGAATTTTTTATTTGTTCATTGTTTTTAATGTCAATATTTTTTATCAAATTTTGTTCAAAATTTTCAGTATAATTGGTTTCAGAATCATCAGATATTTCATTCAATATATCTTCAAATTTATCAGATATTGAATTTTGTAATATGATATTTGTATTTCCTGTTCTGACTGATTCTAACAGATTGCTTTGTATACATTGCTTAGAAACACTTGAAGAAGGATAAATAGAATACATAATGCTATTCTCTAGTTTTTTTTCCTCATTATCCGATAAATCAGTTTCATTTGATTTATTACTATCATCAAGTAAATCTTCAAACTTGGAAGATGATTTTTGTTGATACTTATCAACGATCTCTGTTAATGTTATTTTATTTTTAACTATATATTCATCATTATGCGAATTATTCCAATTGTCATTTTTATTATCATTATTTGATTTATTTTTGTTATAATTATAAGGAATAATATCGTTCAGTGTAATTAAACAATCAAGAACTTTAATATCAGGTATTGTAAAATCCACAAAATTTTTAACAAAAGAAGATTTAGGTACATAAGATTTATTAATTTTACATTTGTTTT